TCTGAAACATTGACTTCCAAACAGACCCACCCTGGCCTCCGCCCAGCTGATCAACTTCTTTTGGACACTTGAGTCTGTGCTGAGCTATCGGGCCACCATCATAAAGACCTTCAAGGAGATGGGCCGATTCACTGTGAACAAGGAGACGCTTTCCACCAAAGATGTGCTGGTCCTCCTCCATAAGTGGAGCCTCATTGAAAGAGACACGAAGCTCCAAGGAGCCCTGAAAGACGTCATTGAGCAGCACCAAGTCAAGGACCTAATGAGTGAGTTCTAGACCTCCTCACTGTCCTTAGCAGCCACAGTTGAGAGCTGGTGCACACAGAGGCCGAAGTGGGGACCTGGCTTTGAACTTCAGCCCCAGTGCCTGGTGGCCTTTCTGCCCTTAGGTATGTCAGTCCCTAAGTGTGTTAGCTTTATGTCACTGTGACAAAATACCTCAGAAGATAAAAAGGGACCTGGGGTCAGATACACCTTCAGAGGTACACTGCCAGTGACCTACTTTCCAGTGTTTCCACAGCTCCCATAGCCTGTTAAGCTGTAAGTGCATAAATGCTTTAATCCCTTCGCCCACAAGATCAGGACCTTCCTGAACCATTCACTTCCACACTGCTGCATTGGGAGTAAGCCTAAAACACAAAGGCTTCGGGGATGTAGGAGATCCAAACGGTAATATGAGTGTTGAGGTGCCCGATCGCCTAAGGGAGGTACCTAAGAGTGGCTTGTTTTCACCTTGTTCTCTGCTCTGAAGTCAGAACTGATTGGGAAGGCCCGGGAGGAAGTGCAGCCTATACAGCGCTGTCACACACACATAAGGACCTGAGGGGGCTCTCCAGAACTCACGGAGCTAAACATGGCAGAGCATGTTTATAATCCCCATGCTGGGGAGATGGAGACAGGTAGATGTCTGGGGTTGGCTCAGCCAGCCAGTCCAGCCGGATGAGTAAGCCCAGGTCCACTGAGAGACCCTGTCCCAAAACACAAAGTTAAAGAGTGCTTAGTGCTCTATCAAAGGGCCGGAGTTTGTACCCCAACACCCTCATCGCATCTCACAAACACCTTTAACTCCAGCTCTAAGGGATTCAACACTGCTCACTTGCACACACACACACACACACACAAACACACACACTGTGTGGATGTGGCAACCCTAGCCTCACCTTTTCTCTCTGTCTTTAACAGAAATGCTCAAGGATAAGAACAAGCCTGTGACAGCTGCCCATGCCAAAGGCCCACGAGGCCGAAAGAAGAGGCATGGAGAGGTGGAGGAGACTGCTGAGCCTGAGCTGGAAGCGTCTAGTTTGGAGACATGCAAGGACCTCCTGAGGGCCACACTGACTCACTGGGGGCCAGTTGTGACCATCCCTGGACCCACCCAGGAGTCTGTGGACCAGGCTACCCCCAGAAGTACAACACTGGGCTCTACATATGCTGCTGTTTCCTTGGTGGTCAGCTGGGTGCTGAGGTCATTGGCTGAACACCCCCTCAGCAGGGCAGAGGCCACAAGACTCCTTGACTGGCTCAAGAGCCACATTTTGCCATACCCAGCGGTGGTGGCTGACCTTCTCAGGGACAGTGCTGTGAAGAGTGGCATCTTCAGGCTGTATGGGCGCCACTGCAGCGCCCAGGGCCTGGCGGGGCCTGCACAGGATGTGGCCTGCGAGTTCAGCTCTGTCATGCTGCAGTTGTTGGTAGCCCAGGGCCAGACAGACAGCCCTTTCCATCCAGCGGTGGAGGCCCTGTGCCTTGACTGTCTGAACGAAAAGGATGAAGCCAAACGAGGTAACGTGGGCTCTTGGTCAGAAGTAGAGAAATGTGTGGGGTGGGAGAGGGTGGGTTAGAAAGTTCTTTCACTTGGTACTCTGATTTCTAGTTGGGTCCTCACCAAGACTGGGAGTTACAGAGAGTGAATGCAAAGGGAGAGCAGGTCTTCCTCATTGGCGACAATCATGTTTATGATGACAGGCACCCCCTCAGCACCTTAGGGACACTCCATCCTACAGAGCAGAGGGTGTTTTGACCATAAGTCACCCAAGCAGAACATTGCTGTGTTGCACAATGACCACATGGATATACCCACGTGAGCACACACCCACACATGCAGTTCGTGCTTGGCATTCAGCTGGCATCCAGAGGCTTGGATGCAAGAGTGAGTGGATGAGTGACCTGCTCCGTGGCGGCTGTGAGATGGAGTGCCAGCTGTGTCCTCCATCTGGGAGAATGGAGAGGACAGCAGGCTGAGCTGTGACCTCACCTGAGAGCAGAAGGAGCAGGGTGAACCTCACCTTTTCCTAAACATGCCCTTGGAGATGATAAATGCCGAGTCAGTGATGGTGCTAGGCATGAGGCCTCTGACCTTGATGGGACTAGGAGTAGTTCTTTTTTAAGGTCGATACACAATCATCAGAAGAAAGTAAACTGAAAAATGATCAGAAAGGGTAGCACAAGAGGAAATTCATTGTTTGTCCACATGCTCACTTGTGCTTCCCCAGGTTTGGCGTAGTGGATCTGGCAGCTGTCCAAAGCCCTATGCACTGTGGGTGGGCGGTTTGTTCCCGTCTGAGCAAGTGCATATCCTAATGGCCTTGTCCAACTCTCCACAGCTCCCGCAGCATTCCTGGTGTCGCTGTACGTTAAGGACATCTGGCTGGGGGCCCAGCAGCCAGACACCTTCCTCCATCATGTCAGAATGGTCTGTGAGGCTGCAAAGGACGGGCCACATGGTGAAGTGGAGGCCATTGTTGTGATGTGCAGGAACATTGACTCCTTGACCCAGATGCTTGCCTCCCCCCCCCCCCCCCCCCCCCCCCCCCGCCGACCAGCGCCCCAGCAGGTTCCAGAAAGCTTAGGGCAAGGTTTCCAGGAGGTGTGAACTGATACATTCAACTGTTTTCCAGCAAGAAAAGTTAAGAGGCCTTAACTGACCAACACGAGGCTCGGGTGTTGACCTTACAGTCAGAGTTGAAGTGACTGGGGCACTGGCAGGCCATGAGGCCCACGGCGGGTTCGGATGGCTGCCATCACCTGAGTCCCGGAGCCCCAGCAGAGGACGCTTCCTAAGTGTGCTGGGAAGGGTTCATGGTGTGAAAGCTGAAATGTGAAACCTCGTGTCTGTGGATGCCCACGACAGATGTTTCAAGTCATCTCTGTAAGAAGTCCTAGGAGTAGCTTCTGTGTCCACGGGGCCGAGCTCCTGTCTGTGTTTGCTGTTCTATTTAAGTATGTTGTACTACACCCCTAAGGTAAATGCCTTCACCTCTACTTTGGGGGAGACAGTCTATTTTTCTAAGTTATATTTCAATGAGGATTTTGAGTTTTATAATGTTTTGATAATAAATAGCTATTTTTGCGAGTCGCTTTGTACTTTGCTTTCATTTTACAAACTTTTTATTTCAGAGACCTGCATTTTATGTCAGAATTTAACTTCCATGGTTCACTGTTAGTAGGTGTTGTCTCTGGTAGAGGTCAGTCTGAAATTGCATAGATTTTGCAGATGAAATACTCCACACTGGTCCCTTGTGTTTGAGCTGCCATTTGTGAGCTGGTGATTTAGTTTGTCGTGTGTGGTGTATGTAGTACTGAGAGTGGCTTGATTTCGACTTAAATGTTTACACTTTTATGTGCACCTGTGTGTCGTCCTGTTACACAGACAGGCTCGTGTAAGGACGGGGCCGTTTACCTTTAATGGCAGGGAGCGGCCAAAGCTCGAGGACACTGACGTGGAAAGTGCCGTTAGATTGCAGTTTATTGACACTGTCCTGTTTATGGTACCTCTGACTGGCATACAGAGGGACAGTGGCTGGAAAGACAGGATCTGGAGCGTGTCCCTATAACCGGCCTCTGAGAGGCCACCAGACCTCAGCAAGTTTCCACAGCTCGTCACAAGCTCCAGTCCTCAGCCGTCCCCTAGATTCATGGGTCGCAGTGAGTTGGTGGGGTTTGATTGCTCCTGTGAGGTGAGCTCACATGCAGTCTGATGGTACCAGCCTCCTCTGTCTTGACCCTGGATAGGAGCTGGTGAGAGGTCATGGGTCATGCTCCCTCCCTTGCCCTCTCCTGGCAGTCTGTGGCCAGTGCAGAGCAGAGACAGGAGGTAGATGCTGCCTTAGGTGGTGACAGCGATGCAGGCAGAGCAGAGCCTCACCTGAGCTCAGGAGCTCGCCAGCTCTCCGTCTGTTTAGATTCACCTCCCCCAAGCCTGGCGAGACCACGCCTGGCCCTCACCCTGTGCAGAGTGGGCCCCACGTGACCTTCCACACCTGGCATGGGGTTACACAGCCAGCCTTCTAGACCCACAGTCCGCAGCTGTGATACGAAATGGATTGCCTCTGTACTGATGTTGAGACTTGCCGGGCACGGGATGGAGGGCATCTGGAGATGGTTAAAGCGTGCCAGAAGTGGTGCTTGGCAGGCTGGCCGTGTGCAAACGCAGCACTGTTTTACACAAGGGTTTGCTCACTGTGGTTTTGGCATGGCCCCACCCCGGTCAGTACCGAGAAGCTGCGTGAAGGCTGTGGTGGAAAGGGAAAACCATCATTTAAGGATCGAGCCTACCAGCGCCTGGCTGTGCTAGCAGCTGCTACTGCCGCTTTTCTGGGCCTTGTGCTATCTCAGTTCAAGCAGGGCCGTCGGTACTACACACCTAGTTGTTCGGGGCTCTCGGAGCCACGGTCCCGTAAAGCGGCGTCTAAAATGGCTTTGAAGCTACTTGCTAGCTTGGAGAAGTCAGTATTCTGGGACCGTGCTGGGGGCTGGCTGGCTCCACTGGATTCAGGCCCTGCTTCTGACAAGCTCCTTGGGCTCTGTCTTGAAAGGCTGTGGGGAAGAGAGAGCGTGATCCAGCTGAGCTGGCCTGGGAGGGCACACACTGTTGTATCTTGGGGATCTCTCAGTGTCAGTGGAGGGCACAGGGAGGTCTGCAGGCTTCCCCAGCATCCTCACAAGAACCTGTATCAGGTGTGTTCAGGCAGAAGGAATGATGGAGGCAAAGCAAAGGTTAGTACTCTTTATCCTGGTTCATGTTTTATTTTCCTACGCATCCCAAAGCAAATGCAAGCAGCAAGCAGATTAACATAGTCAACAGAATCAGCTATGTCGGGGCAGCTTCTGCATGGTAGCCGGACTGTGAACGTGTGTGATGGTCCTCCTTGGACTGTGAATGTGTGTGATAGTCCTCCCCGGACTGTGAACGTGTGTGATGGTCCTCCCCGGACTGTGAACGTGTGTGATGGCCTCCCCGGACTGTGAACGTGTGTGATGGTCCTCCCCGGACTGTGAACATGTGTGATGGTCCTCCTTGGACTGTGAACCTGTGTGATGGTCCTCCCAGGACTGTGAATGTGTGATGGTCCTCCCCGGACTGTGAACGTGTGTGATGGTCCTCCCCGGACTGTGAACCTGTGTGATGGTCCTCCCCGGACTGTGAACGTGTGTGATGGTCCTCCCCAGACTGTGAACGTGTGTGATGGTCCTCCCCGGACTGTGAACGTGTGTGATGGTCCTCCTTGGACTGTGAACGTGTGTGATGGTCCTCCCCGGACTGTGAACCTGTGTGATGGTCCTCCCCGGACTGTGAACGTGTGTGATGGTCCTCCCCGGATTGTGAATGTGTGTGATGGTCCTCCCCGGACTGTGAACGTGTGTGATGGTCCTCCTTGGACTGTGAACCTGTGTGATGGTCCTCCCCGGACTGTGAACGTGTGTGATGGTCCTCCCCAGACTGTGAACGTGTGTGATGGTCCTCCCCGGACTGTGAACCTGTGTGATGGTCCTCCCCGGACTGTGAACCTGTGTGATGGTCCTCCCCGGACTGTGAACGTGTGTGATGGTCCTCCCCGGACTGTGAACGTGTGTGAAGGTCCTCCCTGGACTGTGAACGTGTGTGAAGGTCCTCCCTGTAGACTTGGCTGTGACCTGGTCAGGTTCTTAGAACTACATTGTAAATGGTCCATGTTGATTTGAGTGTATCAAGTTTGTCAGTTCCACAGCTGAGAAGTTCTGTCTCCAGGCTCACCACTACACCCCCTTGCTTGTTCCTGAGGTCAGCTGATGCCCTGGGAAGCCCCATCCCAAGCCTGGTTCCAGGGGCGAGGCAGAGGTGCGACTCTGCTGCTGTAACCATTGCTCAGAGCCCGTTCTACTTCCTGGTTCCCCTGTTGTCTGCGGGGAGGCCCTCCGGAGACAGAAGGGGAGGTTGAGGCTGTGACTCCATGGGCATATCCGGTGGGGCTGGGGGCTGTGTCTGTGGGCAGAGCAAACAGAGGCGAACTTCAGAGGGACTGGCTAGAGAACAGTCCGCAGCTGGGGGCCCCCCGTCCCCCATGCCTGCCCTGCGCCCCTGGGAACCAGGCCTTGAGTCCTTCCTTCTTCTGTATGTCTCCTTGCACACAGCGGCCTACACAGACCCGCGGCAGCTCCTTCATGGCCACACTGACTGTGTCTTTAACAAGGAAGCCTGTCTTCTGGGTTTCCAGGCCACGGAAGTGCGGGGGACAGTGAACATGGCTGCCTGGCATAAACCTTGACCACTGCTTCTGCCTGTGTTGGGTTTTATTCACAAAATGGGATGAAACTGCCTCGTAAGTGGCATGGGGGGAGCCGGGGCCAGGGACTAGCTAAGCTGGAGAACAATGCTCCATGTGGCTACAGTGCTCCAAAAGGAAGGCACCGGAGGGGAGCTGCTGGGACCCAAAGCCCTTCTCTCCAGGTGCCTCAGGAGCCATAGGAGCCTTTTGTTTCCTGTCTGCCCCTCCCCCATCTCTGTGGGGGATGGGGAGGGTCCTCACCCAGTGTCTTGGGGGTCTTTCTAGATTTCTAAAAAAAAGAAAATTGTGTTTATGTGGGTGTCAGAGTGAGTGTATGCCACCCAAAGAGGCCAGCAGAGGATGCCAGATCCCTGGAGTTGGATCTCAGGCAGTTGTAAACTGCCCATTGTGAGTGCTGGCCACCCAACTTGGTCCTCGGGAAGAATAGCAAGTGCTCTTAACTGCTAAGCAGTGGGCCACGAGGTGGTCTCACTGCGAACACCACAGGCTGTACTCAACAAACTTGGGGAACTGCTACTCTATGTGTAGATTGTTATTGCTGGGCCATGCTTAGCATGAATGGGTGCCGTCCCGTGGGGCGAATGCCCTGCACGACTACCATTTCACATCTGCATTCGTCCAAACGCCCGCCTCCCTGCTTACCTCATCTGCGGGGAGCCTGACCAGGACATGTAGAGCAGAATCAGGAAGAGGAGCACCACGAAAGTTGCCAGGCTCACCCAAAAGGCGATGACGATGGAATCTGCAGGAAGGAAGAGAATCAGCTGCGTCAGCCTGACAGCAGAGCCGTCCTCAGTGAGAAGTCAGGAGACCAGGCATTCCAGAGCCAGTGCCTCCGAGGCGGCCTCTTCCAGCTGTTGGCTGGGAAGGTTTCCCGAAACAGCCACAGAAAGAAAGGGAAGTGTGCGAGCGGCTTTTCCTCCGTTTAGGGTGATGTCACTTGATGGCAAACTGAATAGAATCTGGGGCTCCCCACAAGCCTTGTCCAGCTGCACTGTTGCTTGGAGAAGAATCCTGAGTAGTGACTTTGTGACTTCCTTTTCTCATTGAGTGCAGCTCGGTGTAACAAGGACTCTCGGAGCCTTGGTGACAGGCCCCAGTAGGATCAGATTCGGGGACTCCATTCTCAGAAACCCAGGAGAACTGCACAGGGCCAGTGGGTCCTGTTGGAGGTCAAGGTCCCTACCTCTGTGGAGAAGTGGACTGAGGCCAGGGACAGGGGGTGTAACTGGCTAGTGACCCTCTCTCGGGCATTGTTGTAGCCAGCACCATGGCTGGATGTGTGGCTCTGGGCAAGTGGAAACCAGGGAACATGCTTAGCCTCCTCCATCCCTGTGCAGAACCTGGCAGGTTGGGAGGGTTTGTCTCAGAGGCTCCTGACAGGTAGCTGGGGAACTGTCACACTATGGTGGGTTTGGGGTGGTTACCTATGGCTATGAGAACTACATGGTAGCCTCAGGACAAGATGTTCAAGCTGGGAGAATCTATACACCCCTCAATGCGTGACAGAAAGAGACTATTGAAGTCGTATGGTAGTTTGAATGAAAAGAGCCCCCATAGGCTCATAGGGAGTGGCACTATTAGGAGGTGTGTTCTTGTTGGAGTAGGTGTGGCCTTGTTGGAGGAAGCGTGTAACTGGGGATGGACTTTGAGGTTTCAAATGCTCAAGCAAGGCCCAGGGACTCTCCCTGCCTGCTGCCTACAGATCCAGATGTAGAACTCTCCTTCTCCAGCACCATGTCTGCCTGCATGCCACCATGCTCCCTGCCTTGACAGTAATGGACTAAACCTCTGAACCTGTAAAGAAGTCCCAATTAAATGTTTTTGTAAGAGTTGCTGTGGTCATGGTAGCAATAGAAACCCTAAGACAGTCTGTAACCCAAGAAGTACTTACTAAGCACACTGAGCCCTGCAGGGCAACCTTCTGTTAGTGTGAATTGTAATGCTCCACAGCTGTGAAAGCTAACACAAAGGGACCATGTGTCATATTATCATATCATATACAAAAGATATTTATGAATGTTATACAAAAAATGAGCAACCATCCAAAGAAGTGATTGTGGTGCGCGGGGTGTGTAAGTTGTGGAGATGGAAGTGGGCTCTGTGTAAATGGCATCCCTGTTTGTCAGGCTCTCCTCCCCCCATAGGGTACCAACGTCCTCAGATGCTCATGTCCACTATGGAAGCCCACATTGTATGTGTGTATAGCCTGCACAAGACTACCACAGCTTGAATCATCTCCAGATGACTCTGTTCCACATGACTGCATACAAACAGCTGCTGTCTTCTGAGGGGATAAGGACAAGAGAAGGGTCTGTCCACTTTTAGTACATATCCAATTTAAAAAAAAATAATTTCAGTATGTGGATATATAACGCTGGCCATATTTGAAAAGTGTCATCTCTGCTTCCTATGACTCAGACAGGTTAAAAAAATTTTTTTTTTTTTTTTTTTGTAAAAGTGCACCTTGTGTAGGGAAAAGGGGCCAGCCCCAAACCCAGAACCTAAGAAACATACCCTGACCCTGAAACCAGTGCCAAAGAAACACACTTTGTCCCTGGAATCAGAGCCAGTGAAAGAAACATGCCCTGGCCCTAAAACTAGAGCCAAAAGGCTAAAAAGGACCAGTGAAAGCAACATAGTTTGACCCTGAAATCAGAGCTATCTCTGCCCGACCAACGAAACTAACCAATCCCTGAGCAGAGAATCTCCCTGGAGAAACTCCGCCCCTAAAAAGCCCTATATAAGTCCCTCTGCCTGTTCAGTTGTACAGGGTGCTTTCCCACCCCACCCCGACAGAGACAGAGGCAGCCACTCTGCCGGACTCCTCCTTCCCAAATAAATCTCTCAAGAGTCTTGGGTGAAGATCTTCATTCTGAGACATTCCTTAGGGAGACTGAGTAGAAAAAAACTTGCTGAGACTGGGGGGGGCTGAGCAGAACAAAGTAACAACTTTTCGCTGGAGGAGAGTGCTAAATTTCTGCAGGGGTTTCCCCTTGAGCAGAGTGAAGTGGAGGAAGCAACATCTTGGGCCAGAGAGAAGAACTGGAGCTCTGCTGGGAAACCCCCTTAAGGGGGTGGGGCGGAGCAAAGCTCAGCTGTAAGGGCTCTCTCTAGGAGAGGAACAGAATTGCTATACCGTGTGGGGTGACCATCTCCCACTGCACCCCAGCTTCAGGTATCACCTGTCTTCCCCACAAGTCAGGATACCCCTCCCTCCAGGGCTGAGCTGTCCCACTGCAGCTCCAGGTACAGCCTGGCTTCCCTACAAGTCGGGATACCTCTCCCTCCAGAGCTATAACATTCACACCCTGGACCCTAACAGTTAACGTCAAAAATGGGGCTTAAGACAGGGGTGATTCAGCTGGTAAACAGCCTATGGCACAAGCAGGAAGACCTGAGGCCAGATCCCAGGCATGCATGGAAAAACCAGGTGCTCATCTGTAACCCAATCCTGGGGATTAGGGAGTGAAGACAAGTTTATCCCCAGAGATCACCGGCCAGCCAGCCAGGCCAACTGATGAGCTGATGACTTCAAGGGTTAGTGAGTGACCCTATCTCAACAGATTAGGTGCCAAGCAATTGAGGAAAGACACCCAACATTGAACTCTGGTTACACAGGTATATGTGCACTTGCACACTGTACTACACATAACACACACACGCGCATGCATGCACGCGTGCGCGCGCACACACACACACACACACACAGAGCAGAAAAGATGCTATGCTTGTAGAAGGAACACAAGCCCCTGCTTTGTAATCTATCAGCCCTTTACAGCATTTACCCTCCAGGGAGGCAAGGACAGCAGAGGCCCCCAAGCTGGCTCTTGCATCCTCTCCCTTTTCTGCCCCTAAGCTAAGAAACATTCAACAGTTTAAGGGGACCTCTGGGCTCCCGGGAAGTGGGAGATGAGGTCATAGCGGATGTCCTAAGCAGAAACATGTCAAGCCCAAAGGAAACTCCAATTCCCTAAACCCCAAAACGCAAGTCCAAATATTAAGAAATGAGCTCAACCTGACCATAGGAGGATTTCTGGCAGTTAGATAAAAGCCAGCATTCCTCTGGAACTGATGAAACTAGTTCCCATCTGCCAAAAGGAGTCATTTCCCTTTCCTCTGGCAGGAGGGACAAATGGCTGCCTGTGGTGCCTATCAGCATATCAGTGCCGTGCTGGCTCCCGGGTCCCTCAGCATCACAAGTACCTGTTGCACATTTCAAAGTCCATGCTAGGACCCTAGCCCTCCTCACCTCCTCCCCTACCCTAAACTCCCTCCAGCACATGGGCTTCTTTCCCCCAGCTACTCATTCTCCTTATGGCCCAGCTGTTCCTGCTTGTTCTCTCTCTGCTCCTGCCTCTCACTGTGTTTTCTCTGTTCTCTATTCCCTGCTCTTCTCCCCTCTTGAAGATAACCCTGGCCACATCCAGTCTGCTGGCCATTCATCTACTTATTTCTCCCTCTGCTATGGACTCTTCCAGATGCCTCTGGCTGTTCTCTCTGTCTCTCTGTCTCTCTGTCTCTCTCTCTCTCTCTCTCTCAATTTACATGAAAAACCTTCTCCTTATTGACATTATGGTTAGTTTATACAGAATCCTTTCAAAAGACCCCTGTGTCTTTCTCTGCATGCCTTGTTACATGCCCATACTCCCAGAGAGTTACAATTTGCTTCATAATCTTCCAGGTATGAGCATATGCTTTCTGAAACTTTCATTTGGGATTTTCTTCTGGATGGGTATTTCTGATTTCTGTGGACATCAATGCTCTCTTTTCCTCTTCATAAAAATGATGAAAAATTTGAGGTCCATAGGTCCTTGTAAGTTCACAGGAAGCAGCTTCAAGCACTTAGTAGACAAGAGCCTCATTTCTCTCAACCATCTGCCAGAGCCCTGGTCATTATCCCTGATACCAAGCAGGAAATGAGATGACCCCTTGCCTGGAATTCATTGCCTACGGACAAGTGAAATTTAAATTTTGTCAGACCGAAATGAGGATGAGCAGCCACTAGTCAATTCCCATGTTAAATTCCCTCTCGTTGTGTTCCTTTGAAATAGAAAGCCAAGAAAAATAGTACTTTCTTCCTCTTCTGTTGAAAGTTCATCTTGAGTGCTCACAGAGAACATTTTGTCCTAAAGGCAAGAACGGTCATCCTCCAGCATCTGAAAGATTCTCACACTCACGGGCTTGTTTTTGCAAAGAACCCCTGGCTGGGCTGGGAATGAAACCAGTTCATATATGGAGAGCCCCCAGCTTCCTCTCCCTGCCTGCCTGCCCATTCCTTTCTCTTCCATCCCTCTTTCCCTCCTCCCGCTCTCCCCTGCCCTCCCTCCCTCAGTTCCCCCCTCTCTTCTGCCCTCTTTCCTCTCCTCCATTTCCCTGTTCACACGTTCACACTATGGACTGTGAAGAATCGAACACCAACAGAGGATTCACCAGATTCTGAATGTGTGCAGCATTGCATGCTGTAGTTCCGGCTACTTGGGAACTGAGGCAGGAGGACTGCTGGAGTTCAGAAGTTCAGGACCAGCCTGGCCCACATAGCATGACCCCATTTCTAAGGCAAATTGCAGCAAGCACGGATGGACTTCACCTTACATTATAGGACTCCCTTGACTAACCTGAGTGTGTCAGTCAGCTGCACAACACCGTGACAAGATCCCTGAAGCGCACACACCATTTAAAAGGGGAATTGTAGATGTATCCAACCTTCTTATTAAATAAGAAACACAGAACCAATGCAAA